TTCGTAGACAAGATGGCGGTGCAAGATGGTGGCTGCCTGTGTGGCGACCCGCGACCATGGAGATATAAACAGCTTTTCCGACACAGAGGGTAGAAACAGCTAAATTAGACAGTTAAAATACATTTACAGATAACTCACCCTTATTCTTGTTAGCACACTGTCTCACAACATTAGCAGCTGCTCTCTCCCCGAGGGAGGGGCGGCAACATGAGCTCGCGTGACCCAAAGAATGGATCGGCCAAACGGACGGACGTATCGGCCGATACTGATACAAAGAAAAAACGCAAATATCGGCCAAAAATATCGGTCCGCCGATGAATCGGCCGACCCCTACTTAAGATTCGTAAAAAGGCAGCTGTATTGGAATTTGTTTGTGCCAGGGTAAAGTTGTCCGGTAAGTTTTTCCTCCAAATCATATCTCGGCATGCGTTTGTTTTTCAGTATCATTAGCATCGCAAGATTTGTTTAGTTTACACGTCTGTAATGCACACCATTCTTTTCTTTTTTTTGCCAACCACCAATAAACTTTGGAAGCAGTAGAAGAATCATTCAAATTTCTTGAAGACAAGCGACCAGAGAGTGCGATTCAYAACGCTGCCGTCACTRTCGTGTCCCGTGTGTTGGGTTTCACCCTGGTTGCRATGACGGCCGTTAAGCCYGTCGTTTGTTGCTCCCCGTGTGTCGAGCGCAGTTTGTAATGCGATGGTCGTTCGTAGGAGGAGAGCTAGCTTTGCATAAACCACGTGCTATGGTGCAGCTCCGAAAAGAGCGACAGCTTTTTGGTTCCCACATGTACATTATTACAGAACTTGAAACCATACAAAGCCAGGTCTCCACGGCACTAAATCTACATTCATACATGAATATATAGATAATAGTCCATGATCCTTCACCATCATTCATTACCGAGTTTGAGCAGCAGAGCAGCTAAGCGTGTACACACAGCAACGCTTTAGCTCTGAACTCTTAGCATTCACAACATCCTCTGTTATAAAAGAAGAGGCGCCATTGTGTGGCACTTAAAAGGTACTACAACAGTGATATACATACTGACTGTTACAAGTTGAAGCCCCCTCTCAGACCAGTTGTTGCTGTAATTTAACCGTATATGTCTTCAGAGGGACGGCAAATATGACGTGGGCGGTGGGGAGCGGTTCGACACCCTGGCTGACCTGGTGGACCACTACAAGAAGAACCCCATGGTGGAGAAAAGTGGCATCGTAGTCCACCTCAAACAGGTCTGGGACCAAGATTTAAGCAGTAAAACAATCAAACAGCTACAAGTCTTTTTGAAATAAGAATAGCATGTCTTCGTTTTCCCACGTGACAGCCTTTTAACGCCACGAGGATAAACGCTGCCAACATAGAGAACCGGGTACGAGAACTCAACAAAGTCGCAGACAACTCTGAGAAACCCAAACAAGGATTCTGGGAAGAATTTGAGGTATGTACTGTACAGCTTAGGAGGACTGTTCTTAAACTCAATTCATTACAGAAACAGGAGGAAGCTTATATCCTAGTTAATCTGTTTTGTGTAACCATTCTATTAGATGAGGTAAAGTGAAAGCCTGATGATTTAAGTCAATTTGGTGAGACAGGAAACTAAATTTTGTTAATGTGAAATTATTCCTGTTGTGCGTTTTGCAAAAAAAAAAAAAAAACAGTGAACAAATAATCTGGTGTGTTTTGGAACCAAACCARATTTGTGTTGTTGTTCAATCATCTGTCATAAATTTAAAATTTTCTTAGGTGATCTTTTTTTAATGAGTTTAAATAGCTGTTTGCAAAATTGGTGGRACTGAATAACGAGGGACACAGAATGAAAGTTAATTGTAACAATTATCAGCAACACAGAGTGGGATGTTCTCCATTGCAAGAATATTAACTAGTTTCATCAGGTATCATATAAAGTTTTTAGTTTTAGTCAAGAAACTGTGCTTCTAATCTGTATTTACTTTGCATAATCCATATTTAAATTAAAACTACCCACCAAGGATTGCTGTAAAGTAGTTTTGAGTTTAGTGAAATGCTTCTTTATTATATAACCAGTGTGCAGCTCTCCTGTTGTTGCACTCCAGGGTGACCTCTGCTGTAATAACAGCCAATTACATCATTTCAGAGCGAACATTAGTCAAAGCGTTGTGTAAAATGTCTTTGGAGTTGTCAATACTTTATCATTTTCAAAGAGTTTTATGATACCGTTGCCAAAAATAATAAATTTTCTTCTTTTATTTTCTTTTATTTTTTTAAATATTAGGTACTTCAGCAGCAGGAGTGCAAACTGTTGTATCCCAGGAAAGAAGGCCAGAAGCCAGAAAACAAGAGTAAAAACAGATACAAGAATATCCTCCCCTGTGAGTCACGCAGCGACCTGACATTTCCTGTCTCTCCAACTTCCTGTGGAAAGAATGACACGAACAGAAAAGAGACAACGTAGAAGCCAGAGCGCGGCATGGAGATTGCACTCAGATAGCCTGCAGTCTTATCAAATAGTTCTGTGATCTGTGGAAACTGTGCGCTTCTTTTGTTGTGTATTAATGTTTGACTTCACGTTTACAGTTGACACGACGCGAGTCGTTATCAAAGAAACGGATCCAGAAGTCCCTGGTTCGGATTACATCAACGCCAATTATATCAGAGTGMGTTTGGTTTCTGAATAAAACACAGCTAGAATTAAAAGTACTTCGTAATAAACTCTACATATTAATAAGTGTTTAAAAAATGCAGTCGTATCAAAACACTCAAATCAAGAGATGATTCCTGGTGTTSAATGATACAGATTACGCATGAAGACGGACGCCACGTAGAGGAGAGCAAAGTCTTCATCGCCACCCAGGGGTGCCTCCAGAACACGGTGACGGACTTCTGGAAGATGGTGTATCAGGAGAACGCACACGTCATCGTCATGACCACAAAGGAGATGGAGCGAGGCAGGGTGAGGGGTTTGCATTAAAGGTGCATTTTGCACAAGTTTTTTATTTTCTTTTGAATTGGTAGAACAGGCAGGTGTGCTCCTGTGCATCAACCCTGGTTTATTAAAGCTTCTTTCAGTATGTCAGATGTGAGGAGCCTGTGTGTGTTTGATGACTGCAGGACAGTTTCAGCTTTTTGTAAGTTGTGGACAAAGAACTGTTGGTGAGCAGGGAAGTGAAGAATAAACATTWTACAGATTACAAAACAAAAAGATAAACTAGTTTATTCAAACGGGCTAAATGCTTTTTGAAATTCCCAAATTATTCCAGATGTTTAAAGTTTAATGAGAAACAGAGTAACACTTTGTAAATCTTTTTAAGTTTAAAAAGATGCTTTAACTGCCAGAGTTGTAAAGTAACTAAGTACAAATATTTATTTACTGTACTTAAGTAGAATTTTTGGGTATCTGTACTTTAATTATTTTTCAGCCTACTATTTACTTCTACTTTTTACATTTTCACACAATTACCTGTACTTTCTACTCCTTACATTTAAAAAAAGGCAAGAAGTAAAAAGTCGTTGCTTTTATTTCATTTTTGCTTGTTTTCATTCCAGCATATTACTGTAAAAAATAAATACTATCCATATGTGTGCCTCCTAGATAGAGTGAATTTAATTGTGGTTGAATGAGAAGTATAAATATATAAAACTCTGATACTGTATTAGTTTGTACACAAACAAATCATGACACACTCCAGCAGGACATAATCATTAAAATAAAAGGACTGTACTAAAGAAGTATTTGTATTTCATGAACTATATTATTGCATTTGGCCGCAGCCCTCAGATTTTCATTTTGGGGAAAAGGTTTGGTCACCCTTGATATACAGTATATATATAAACTGAAACAGCTGGACTAGTGCATCTTAAATTTAACATCAATTAATTATCAACCCTTATTTCTGCATTTTTTTTTCCTAATAAATGTCATTACAGAAAACCTTAACTGCTCATTTTGAATCAATACTTTTACAGTACTTAAGTACAAAAAATATCAGATACTTTAAGACTTTTACTCAAGTAATATTCCTAAAGGAAACTTTTGACTTTTACCAACGTGATTCTTTGGTAAGGTACTTGTACTTTTACTGAAGTATCACTTTGTAGTACTTTATACAACACTGTTAACTGCAGATTACTTATTGTTACATTTTTTTTCTGTCTGCAAATTGTCAGCCAAACTTAACTCAGCCATGCAGCACAGATTCATGTTTTCCTTCCCTAACTAGAACAAAATGAACATTATGTTTTAATGACGGCAGCTCAAACCCTGTGATTAGGACAATAAGAGTTGTTGTCTGTAATCCATCTTTGTTCAGTCAGAAAATAAATAAAAATAAAGTATCTGCAAACCTTTCAGTAAATAACCAGAAAAGTATATTAAAAATTTACCCACAATTATAAGAACAAACTGAAAGATGGAATTTAAAAATAGACATTCTWACAAAATGCTCCGTGCTTTTTAGCTAAGGTCATAGCAGTGGTTACTGTTGAAACATTTTTATGTCTAAATTGCTAATAAAAGTTATGTATTTCATCAATTTGTTTGAATTACATTATGTACACTCAGAAAAGAAGTACACTTCCTGTTTATTTTTTCCAGTTCCACCTTCAATATAGACGTCTTCAAATGTTCATAAGTTGGTATAAGTTGTCTAGTGTGACAGGACCTTTAGACTGAATGTTTCCGTGYCTCACAGTCACACTTTGTTGGTTAAAGTTGAATTTGATGAAAATAACTAAAGTGAGCTTGTCTTTCACCTAACGTTTCAGCTGTAGCTTTTATATTTAGTTTAGTGCGGGGCGATTCAACTGGTGACCGCGAGTGACCAAAGTTCATCCGGCTAATTGGTTCAGTCATCTCTKAAGCCCAAACCCCTGGTTTTCTACTTTAATTACTACAAGTTTTTTTAGCTAGCATCAAAAGAAGCTGGTAAAAAAAAACATTTCTATAAACATCCAAGACAGTTAAAACTACAAGCAGATGAAGATAAAACTATGATAAAATTAGTTTAAAAAATTTGCCAAGTCAAAGATGTCCAAATAAAACTGTTCTGTATGTTATATTCAGGACAAATGCAGCAAAATAAAGTAATTCTAAGGTAACAGATCTTTGTAATACTTGGTTTATTTACATAATGACTTTTATTGCTGGAGGTTCGGCCCCTGGGCTGTGGCCCCCGTAGCAGTTTAGCTGAAGAGCCCTGKTTTAGTGTTTAGCTGACAGGGTGAACCAGCAGATTTCAAATAGTGAAAATGTTTTTTTATATTTTAGATGAAAGTCATTTTTAGATGGCACTAACTGTTTCTGGGATGAGGAGGTGGTTTCTGTATCAGTAACAGAGATGATGGTTTGTACACATGTTTCGGTGGTGGGGGTGGAGAGGAGCACAGCGAGCGGGGGGATAATATGACAGATAAGCTGATTGAAAAGCTGCTTGAGTCGAGCTCTTTCCTCTGACTGTCTAATGCTCACCATCCTCCCTCTTTCTTTCTCTTTTATTTATTTATTATTATTTCTTGTGATTCAGAACAAGTGTGTTCGTTACTGGCCAGACCTCCACTCCACTAAAGAGTTTGAAAAGCTGCTGGTGAGGAATGTGGAGGAGCGGCCGGCTCACGACTACATCCTCAGGAAGCTGGAGGTCACGCGTCTGGACCGGGTACGAAAAGGTTCTGCGCTCAGTTTGAGCCGGTTTACTGAGCAGACACAGAAACRCGCTCTCACCTGCACATTCTCTTAATGCGTTCATAATATTTGTTATAATTTACACATAAAATCATGCTCTGAATGTATTTATTTCAACTAATTTTCACATTTTATTTGAATCCTCCACTCTAGAAAGAGCCTGTGAGGTACATTTGGCACTATCAGTACCTGAGCTGGCCGGACCACGGGGTGCCTAATGAGCCTGGTGGGGTGCTCTGGTTCCTGCAGGAGGTCAACCGCACACAGAGCACCATTAAAGACACCGGACCCATTGTTGTCCACTGCAGGTACACATCAGTTATCACAGGGACAAACAACCTAAAAATAAAGAAGGACCCGTTTGTCTTTTTACTGTTGAGTTAATTTTCCATCAGATATTCTTTTACTGTATATTCAGATTCTTTTAAATGCTTAAATTGGCCACTGGGCTGTGCTAAAATTAAGGTTTGTTTAACAACAATATAAAAAAGTAAAACWGTGTGATTGATGAAGATATTCCCTGTAGGTCAGACAACTTATCAAAACTGGGAATAAATATTATTTTATTTATAAAACTGTTGTCATTTTTAAATGGAAAGTCGGCAACTTTCATTTAGTATGAATATTTTGCCATTTTCAAACCAAGATCCAACCAGATGTCAGTCGTTTTTTATTTACATTTTGTTTGCCCACCCTCCATAAAAACATGCAAACATAATAATCTGATTAAACAGATCTGACTCTTTACCATCCCTTATCACCTGCTGATAGAGTCATGTTTTCAGTTCAACGATGTTCTTCATCTAACTGTGTTTTATATGTGGCACAGCTAGGGCTGCAACTAACGATTATTTTAATAATCGATTAACCTGTTGATTATTTTTTTGATTAATCGGCCAAATCATTAAAACACTTAATTACATAAATATGAGTAGATATAAATTAATTTATTTCCTGTATAATTTAGGGATGCAAGTTATCAATTAATGTGTAGTTGTCTGAAGTTGATTCATCTTATCGATTGACTAGCAATTAATTGAAAAGCAGCCATTTTCTTAAAAACCAGAGTTTTCTATTGAATCAAGTGGGTCTTTTCATAAAATGAATATTTTTTTTAAAATAATACGTCAATGTACCAACCTGTGCTGTTGTGCTTCGAAACATTGTGCACAGATGTATGTGTAGATTAACAGACTCTGCAAACAGCATCATTCAGACTTTGACCAATCCTGTTCAAAGCTCAGTGAGATTCTTCTCCAGCTTGTGGAATCATTGGCGCTTTAGTTTAAATGTCAGTGATTGATTATTTCATTATATATATTTTATTTTTCTTCTTTTTTATTGTTCTTGTTTTGTCTGTTTTTATGGACCATAATTGTGTCTAAATAAAGAGATTGATTGAATATGCTAAATTAAAAAAGAAGCACATCATAAATATTTTCACAATTGATTTTGCCAGCTGTATGAAACACTGACTGGAAAAACCCCAAAAATGTGGATTTCTCGTACATTAACAAACTTGGTTATAGCTATAAAACATAACAAAACCTTTGATAATTCCAACTGCGATGTCTACCAGCAGCTTCAGGGCTAGTGATGTTTCAAGTGGTAAGATTATGAGCTTTAATAAGTAAAATTATCCCAGCTACGACAGACAACAAATATTACATTTATAGTATTACAACTAAAACCGTTTTTGACGCCGCCACCGCAGTTTGTCCTTCATGAGCCTTTGTAGACAAGATGGCGGTGCAAGATGGTGGCTGCCTGTGTGGCGACCTGCGACTATGGAGATATAAACAGCTTTTTATTAGGTAAAAACAATAAAACAAAGTCTTTGTCTGCAATGATTAGACATGTTTTTTATTATTGTCATTAGTGATTATCTCAATTTTGGCTAAAAGAATTGACAAAATCCTACACACTGTGCCATTAACTTTTTGCTTCCTTGTTGGTCCTGTCTGTGGCTAAAACACTGTTCTATGACCCAGTAAGAGGTTCTGAAGCAGCCCCCCATCCCTCCCCCCTCCCCTACTGAGTCAGAGTCAGACCAGGAGTTCTGCTCGCATCTTTTTTTTTTCTTCATCCTGAACCTTTTTGCTGCTCATCAAATAACTTTGAGCCTCTGTCAGAAAAACAGACTGGARGGTTTTATATTTCTGGTCTGAGAGGAGAGGAGGAAACAAATGGTGGACTAAGGGTTTTTTGTTTGTTTTTGTTTGTTTGTTTTCCCCCACGGGACGTGTTTCCTCCTCGCGACACGGCGCTCATCAAATCAGACCGTTATGTGGCATTTACTTTCTATCATAACTTCGGACCTACTTGGCCTAACAACACAATTTAAAAACTGGTTTAAAGTTCGAAGTCTCTACTTTTCACTTGAGGGTCTCAGAGAGGGCGGATCTTTACAGGTAAAGTGTTTTTCTTCCTAAATTTTATTCAGGTCAGCCAGCATTGACAACGCTCTGCAGGTGACGTAAACGGCTCCGCCACACGGCGAGGGACGCATAAATCACGCGACACAACGAATCGATAATGAAATTTGTTGCCAACGCTTTTAATAATCGATTTTAGTCGATTTATCGATTCGTTGTTGCAGCCCTAGACACAGCTGCAAGGCTGCCAGAAGTCTAAATAATAACCTAAACAGTCAGCACTTAATTAATTTAAAGGCWACAAGAAGTGATGTTTGGTGTTTCCTCTGTGTCTAAATCACAAACAAAGAAGAAAGATTTATTATAAAAATAATCTATGCTGATATTTTCATCATCATCAGTCAACAGCCACCCCTAAAACGTGTTGCTGAAAAGTTAGGTTGTTTTTTTTAACCCATTCTTCTGTTGTCTCTTCAGTGCAGGCATCGGCAGAACCGGCACCATCATCGTCATCGACATCCTCATCGACGTCATCAACAGACAAGGTGAGAAACCCGACGAACGAAAGTCTGATTCTTTGTCCGACGCCTCCACTCATCCCTCCATTTGTGCCGTCAAGGTCTCGACTGTGACATCGACATCCCCAAGACCATCCAGATGGTCCGGCAGCAGAGGTCGGGCATGGTCCAAACAGAGGCCCAGTACAAGTTCATCTACATGGCGGTGCAGCAGTACATAGACACAGCCCAGAAGAGACTGGAGGAGGAGCAGGTAAGCTGGACGGGTCTAGAGGGACTTATAATCAGTTAAACATATTAACCAACTGGTTGATTTTTGATTTTCTCTTTTTGTKTCAGAGGAATAAGTTAAAGGAGAGRGAATATTCCAACATCAAATATCCTCAAATGACCAACTCCAGGTCCAAACACAGCATGGCGTCCTCGCGCTCCTCCTCTGTGTAAGCCTCGCTCACAAGAACTGTTCAATAAACGAATCAAAACTCAAAGATGGTTCTTTATCCTCGAATATTTTCTTGTTTTTGTGTCACTTTAGAATGACAAACGACGATTCTTCAAGTGTTTACGAGAACATAAACTTCAAAACCCCTCAGACGTCTTTTAGCAGCAACACCAGGAGGTAAAACTGTCACTGCGGACGTCTCTCTTCTCTGCCTCGCTGTAAGTCCTTTCTCTTTTTTTCTTTTTTTTTTTACTATAAATTGTTTTGGTATTTTCCTGCCTGTGATAGAGATTTCTCAGAGCTTCTTGCCGAAGGCGTTTTTATTGTTGTACCTTTTGAATCAGTTGCTTTACAGTTGTAGAGGAAAACATTACAGTACCTGTTATTTGCACCAGTAAATACAGCTTCTGTGGGAAAAATCAGAACTTATGACGTGTCAGAAAAACATACCTTTTACTCTGAAGGAGTTTGTCACTGATGGTGAACCTGTGTGAGTCAAATTCMTTTCTTTTATTCAAATCATAGGTTTATCTTTCATTTTTAAGCTTAAAATTCAGTCATTCAAGTCATAATTATGAGATACAAGTTTTATTTCTTTTATCAGGGTGGCGGAAATGGGCTTCCATACAGAACTAACATTAGTATGTTATGTTCTTTGTTGTTGTTTTATTTTTATTTATTTTTTTCATTTCAAAATAAAATTGCTAAAAGAAAACAACCATGTTATTTT